CTGTGAAGAAACCCCAACATATTTTATTTGCTAATACTGATCGTTGTCAAGTGCCATAGAAAGTTTATAACATACTTTATCATTTGAAATGAATAATGACGTTACTAAAGTCAATGATTTTTACTAAAGTCAAAATCATATAAAATTGACTTTAGTAACGTCATAAAAGTCAATTTTATATGATTTTGAGATCTATTTTGCGAAAATATACTAAATAGAATATCGGCAAAAGAATGCCACAACCTATCACATGCCTATCTATTCACTTTGGTTTTTAGAATTGTGTATGCTATGCATTTATATAGTAATGATTAGGAAAACTGTATATTGACTACACTATTTGCCTATACAGATATTGAAATCCATTCAAAATAATAATTCTTTGTACTCCAAGCATTTACAAATCTGTGATTGTTAATTTGTAATTGTATCCGATACGGAAAAATATTCCCTTGAAAAAAAACAACCTGTTTTGATAACTATTATTTATCTAAATAGGTTGTAATCTGCACGTATTCTGTAAAATTTATAAAAATCTATCTGCATGATAGATACAACAAGATACCAGTACGGTAATAAAATAATAATTGTTACTTACTAAATCACAGCGCTTCAAAATCTGTCTGTATGCAGCCGCCGATTTGGGAAATGAATGATAACGGTTGATGAAATCATTTAAATACCACTAGTTACAAATATGAGGTGTTAGCTAACAAGTTTACCAAAATAAAATTATTACAATATGTGTTCAAATTAGCAAAATACCGATACAGCCAATATCACATTAATTGAATTTTCCGGCTGAAGAAATACTTAAGGTGGGAAATACTGTACCACGTACATCGTGAGACAATGTAGCGCATCTTAGGAAGGTGGCTTAATTATTGTTTTACTCACAGTAATGTATTCCCCAACGTCGTCTATTGGTGCGTGGGGGAACTAAGCGTAAATTTTCCACATGCACCTTTCGCACGACAGCAACACGTTGGAAGCATTACATTTCAAGATTTTCTTTAATTTATTCGTCCCTGATGATAGAAAGATTATTGTTAATACACACTGAGGAAAGACGACATAATAATACCTTGTAAAGTTCAGTATACAGTAGCATGGAGGTAGGCATACGTAAATACTTATTTTACTTTACATTTTGGTCTTAAATTCTCTCTTCTGTAGTTTCATTTAATCTCCAAACTTCTCATTTGAACATTCTATTTTTTTACTTTGTTTAAGTATGAAATTATATTTCAATTGGAAATTATATTTCAATTGAAAATTACAAATGTACAATATTTGTCTTGTTAAAGTATTATCATCCGAAGTGTACGATACTGGTAAAAGGTAAAGATAATAATGTATTCATTCTCAGAAAAGAAAAATTATATTGTTCGTCTTTAAAATTCTTAAAATTGAGCAAAATGTTATTTTATAGTTGAAATATTAAAAAGTGCAACGCAAAAAATAATATTTTCTAAATGTAAATGATGATGTGACTCAATGTTAGTTCTTTTCAAAACATATACGGTACCTAACACGAGTCATAACAGTGGCGTAACGAATAGGTCGGGCCTGAGGATACATGGGTCACGTAACCTTTTTTTTTTCAGTAAACCACATGAAGCATACTTGGCAATGTTCATCATCACTGTCGATTGGTGGCGTAAACCTAATGAATATTAATTTAGTGAGACCACAGCGTTTTTGATGTTTTGAGGGCGTATTTTGATTCGCTTTTTTCTTGCTCATGAAGAGATTCTAATAGTTGCTTTTAAAAACTTTAAATTATAAGGTCATACGATTCTGACATTTAAACACTTAACATTCTAGCCTAATCTGCATCCCAAATTTGTATAAAATTAGAGTAGACTGTTTAATTACGCCCTAATTAGAATCCTGTTTGTTTATACACGTACTGTAGGCCTAAAGTATATATAAAAAAAGTAAAACAAAAGTGTTGTGTGTCCATTGTGTTGGTGTAAATGACTTTTAAATTATTATTATTAATATTATTATTATTATTATTATTATTAATATTTATATAACTATAGACATATTGTCTGAAGGTAACCTTAACCCATCTACTGTTAGCTCTAAAACAAATAAAGCTATATTATATAAAAAGTACTTTTGGAAAATCCTGACCGTTTTACTTCTTAAAATATATAGGTATCGTTTTAAAGAAGCACTTGGCCTTAATAATACTTTTTGAACTACTTAAAAATGTATCCACGAGGCGTACTTGCTATTCAACTCTGTGATTAAGTCCAGTGTTTTCAGACTCCTTCAACTCTGTCAAACAGATGTTTCATAATAAAACAATAAAAACGTAGGCCTATATACTTTAGAGAAAAAACGTCATTATAATTAAAGTACTGTTTTTGATGGTGCTTACGTTTAATTCTTTTTCGTCTGAAAGACTATAAAAAGAAATGTTCATTTGCCATCGTCAGACGATTTGGAGAACACATTCGATTTCATCGATAAACATTGGTAAGCTATTATTTTTGCTATCAAATTAATTGTGTATCATCACTTTATTACGTTCAAGTTATTTATATGCCTACAGTATGTATTATTGTGTATGTATCTGTATTTCTGAACTTTTATTTCTTTTCTTCTTCTTGACTATATTTATTAAATAGAATATGGCTATTAAACAACTTATACTGTTCTGCTGCATCGCAGTTACTGTTTATGCATCATCACAATATTCTGTAGGAAAGGGTAAGACATTATGCAGCTTGTGCTAACACATAGTTTAAAGAAAGCCTCCTCATTTATGGTTTTGATCAGCGAAGATACTATCTTTTTTCAATTTTTTTTGTAACACATATACATCTTGTTTCAAGAATAATGCTTTTGTTAGGCACATATAAGCTTATATTCTTATATTTTAATATTAATTTGTCTTTGTTGAATGACCACACTAAATGTTCTTTTAAAATTAAGCAAAGTGTAGGCTATGTTACAATGTTACAAAAATACCATAAAACATATCCCATGTTTATAACTCAATAGATGGTATTCCACAAAATTCCTGCGTAGAGAACCTTTAATGGTTGATAATGTAAATAATGGTTAATTGTTTTTAAAAAATCCCCAGCTAGTAGGGATTGTTCTGTTCTTACACTTCGTATTCATGAACATCGAGCTTTAGAAATAAAGCATGCGGGCTCTTTAAACGTCACATTATTAGGATTATTAGGAGTGAAATTAGTCCTAAAAGCAATATTGTATAGGAATGTCCAAGCTACCACTTAATTTTTATACAAAATATAAACATATTAATCAGTGTAATGGGAGGAATATATGATGAGTTTAAAGATGAACGGAGTTAATGGAACAGTTCACCTCCAACAAAATATTCTATTCATTGCATGAAGAAAAATATTCATTACACTTATAGATTCTCGTCATTTTATTTTTAATGTTAAATATAGTTACGTTTACCTTTTTCGAATGGAACAATTCATCTTCTTTATACGAATGAAAACATAGTATAGGTGGGTGTAGGCGTGCAAACAAACATAATTAAAGGCCAACTCAGACAGCGTCGTACGACGCAGCCCGACGCGACAACAAATCTGTGTGAGTTAAAACAAGGTTAAAACGCAGACGCGATGGTGTGCGTCGTCGGGGGCAGTCGCGTCGTAGAATATTAAACATGTTTAATATTTCTCACGACGGCTTAAGACTGTCCCCGACGATAAATCGGGTCGGGCTGCGTCGGTCGACGCTGAGTTGGCATTAATGGGACAAATGAATGGAAATAAAACTAGATTACATAAAGGATGACGCAAATCGAAGTATGAATTAATTTGTCATTTAATGGTGTAAATACCTAATTTCATGTGATATTATATCCACCAATAAAATGACAAATATTTAGATATATTATGAGACATGCTATAGTTCTTAAAAGGCCAACTCAGACATAGCGTCGTACGACGCTGTCTGAGTTGGCCTTTACACTACAGCTCTTGTCCATGCTACCACTCGGTTCTCCTTAATCCTAAATCGTGTAGCGATTGTATGGAAACCACGCTCAAATCGGTTTCTTCCGGAGTGTCAATCAAAATTAACAGCTGACCAATCACAACAGAGCAAAGAATAAGCACTTGTCCAACAAACGCACGCGTGTTTACGTACGTTTACGCTGCCGTTTTATGGAACCTTAGCAAACAATATCCAAGGGGTAGAAAGAAGGTACACTCCTTTCTCCGAGGTACGGTTCTACTCCACAATCTTTAGATTCACATTAAGCTACAGCGCCTCATTACGTCATTTCTATAACCACATAATATTCTGTTTTGTTTTTCTTTTCTAAAAAATAGTGACAAAATGCGAAGGACAGCAAATCGATATTCGGTGCGGAAATCAAGAAATTAACATTCTGTACGCCCGGTATGGATCACCAAGCTATGGAGATTGTGGAGCTAGCCACTATTTTCCATCAAACTGTGAAGCTGCGAATTCGTTAGCAGTTGTACGCCAGAAGTGCCAAGGCAAGAAGAACTGCTGGGTTAAGGCTCATAACGATGTGTTCGGAGATCCTTGTGTGGGTGTAAGGAAGTCATTGACGATCCATTACACTTGCGTAGACTATGAAATAGGTATGTTTATTTTAAATACATTTTTTTCTTAAGTAATTTATTACCGAAGAAGAGAAAAGGATAATAGGAAAACGTTGTGATATCAGTAACATTAACAGTAATACTTATCATAATACTAATAATGATAGAAATAACAATACATTAAATAGTTTTAAAGTAAATAATAGAAATAATCATTAGTAATAACGTAGTGATGATTTCATTTCATTTCCATTTATTGTAATTTGCATCATAAACCATACACAGAAATTATTTTAAAGAAGATTACAATAAATGTTTGTGTCTGTGAAAAAATACCCCAAATTTTGTGATTCTCTTTATTAGTTGGAGCTTGTGAAGGAAAACAAATCGATATTCGATGTGGATCTGGCAAAACGATCAATATCCTTTACGCTATCTATGGCGCAAACTTTGGCAGCTTGTGCACCAACAGCTTTGACCCGTGGAACGCGGCATGCTACGCCAGGAATTCATTCCAAGTGACGAGAAATAAATGCCAAGGAAAGCAGAACTGCTGGGTGAAGGCTCACAACGATGTATTCAATAGGGTCTGTCGCGGCCGTCCTCAGCATGCCCTTGACGTCCACTACAGATGCGTCAGAGGACAACTTGGTAAGAATGCTCTGCTTTTTTTTCAATTCAGCAAACACCAGATATCTCGGAATAGTATGGAAGTCATACATTGTACAAATAGATCCATTTATTACCTCCGCCAAGGAGGTTACGTATTCACTGCTGTCTGTCTGTCTGTCTTTGCCTGTCTGTTAGCAAGATTACGCAGAGACTAAAGCATGGATCATCATAACATTTAGTAAATGGTACATAATAAGCCAAGAAAGATTGGTGACTTATTGTAACTTTATTGGTAGCCTAACTTGTTGTTGTGGAGGTATTTTTGTTGGCGCTCGGCAACCTCCTCCAGTCTTTTAATCTCAATTTAAACTTACTGAACTTTAGATAATAAAAGTTTGATTGGAGACAAGAAATAGACATTTTGTCACACAAGCTAAACTTTTGGGAATTATGCTACAAAATAACTTAAATTGAGATAGCCATATAAATGAAATGATTTCAAAGGCAAATAGAAAGTTTTTTCTCCTGAGAAGCGTAAAGAAATTTGGTTTCAACACTGAGTAGGCTGAGTTTACCGTGGGCATATAAAACCCTTACTGTACGTCATGTGGCACCCTGGGTTAACCAAATCTCTTAGTACAGTATTGAATCAGTCCAAAAAATAGCCTGTCGCCCATCATTCTTGGCAGGGACTTCCAGACATTATGATGATGCCCTAAATCACTGTAATTTTCTCTCCTTTCTGAAAAGAGAACAACACATTGCACAGCTAAGTTTGCTAAAAAGCTTTCCACAACTACCCACTCTGCAGACTTGTTACCAGTTACACGTTTTGAAAACCGTAACAGAATTATCATTCGCAACTGTCAAAAGATATCACACTTACACACTAAAACTACTAGATTTTTCAACGATTTCATAACTGAGCGGTAGAGAACCGTACAACGAGTTCAGAATATTCTGTGTAATTCTCAGTATTTTTTTTTAATTGCAGCTTTCGCTTGTGAAAATAAGCAAGTTGATATTCGATGCCCATCGGGTACTACTATCAACATCCTATCAGCTTTCTACGGACGAAACAACCAACAAGGCTGCCGCAATCCAATCCAGCAGACTCGATTTGGACTGATCATCAGGAGTCCGTGTAGTGCTACCAACGCACTGCAAGTCGCTAAGAATGCCTGCAACGGAAAACATAATTGTTGGATAAAAGCCCGTGATAACGTATTTAATATTCCTTGTCAAAACGGCCCTAAAAAACACCTAGAGGTAGAGTTCGAATGTAGAAAACATTAAAATAAATATAATGCAGCTAAAAACGCAACCACAGAGGTATTCTATACTGTACCTTTGGCTGCAGTGGCTATTACGGCAAACCGTATCACACATAAACATTATGTAGTGATGAAGGCCTAAGTTAACAACAAATAAAGAGAGCATTTTACTGTATATGTACTTGATTCATTGTTTGAGTGATTTTATTTCGAATACTTTTTTCTAAATATTTTATTTGCGCTCATCCAATATGAAACTGGAAATGTGGGCCGGCCCCCTAGAGACTTGTGGAAGCCGCAGTGCAGTGCTATTCTGTCCGAATGGGCTGTGCTGTGAGCGGGATGGTTTTGAGGGTTCGTCCCATTTGGTTAGACCAATTTGGTTGAAGGCTAATTAGGTGTGGCCGTGAACTAATAATTTTTAGGTTTTAGCCTAGCAGGGTACCGTATCGACATCATGGAGGTACATGGCGATATTAATATCACTCTATCGATGAAGACGTCATTGACATTTGGGCCTACCTTTATCACTTTTTTGTCGTATATAGAAATTTTGTTAGCTCCGATGAGGAGCTCTAGACACATTCGGCTGATTGATTAACACAGCAGTCGGCTGATTGATTAATACAGTAGATCTTTTTGTATGGGCGGCCGTTAGGGCCGATATACTCTACTGCCTCTACTTTCTCTACTGCCCTCGTCGGAGCTTTCGAGTTTATAAAAACTTGTTTGTCGGGATCAAATTTCGATTCATGATCATTAAACTTTGTGCACCAGATAATGACAAGATTCTTGATAATATATTTTATACAATGTCAATTAATGTCTGAATATGTACGTGGTAGGTGAATCCCATTGGAATTAGGACTTATTTTGCTTTATAGCCTGCCATCTCTATCTTAGAGTAAAACAGGATAAACAATGAATAAAATTTAAAAAAAAACATATACGATACGAATATACTATCTAAACAACGAACAAGTAAGCCCCAAGCCGTAACGTTTCTTTAGTCAGTCATGTTGTTTGATAGCATGCAGCCACTTCGGTGCATGCCTCTGTCGATTGAAATGCCTTCAATGCCCAACAAACGCATTTAAAATAATAAACAAAATACTGTATGAAATCCCATTTAACTATATATTAAATTAACGATGCAAAAAATACTGTACTCATATTTGGTTGAAATTGTAAAGTCTTCGTCTTTCAACTCCATTTACAGTATTATTTATATGTAAAACGCCACATAGAGGTGTATAAAAAAAACCATTATCTTTTTTCTAAAACGCCATTCCTTTGATGATGATGATGATGATGATGATGATGATGATGATGATGATGAATGATGATGATAATAGTGGTTATGATGATATGATGCTTATCACACAAGACGAGTTGAGTCATCATCATTATTATCATCCATCATCATTATCATTATCTTCATCATTATTATCATCAATATCATTATCAACACCACCAACACACTATATATATATATCTATACATATATATATATATATATATATATATATATATATATATCTACATATCACAACACCATTATCATTACCCTCAATATCGTCATCATCATCAATATTATCATCAATATCATCATCATCACAATATTCAACATATTGAAAAACATCTGATACCGTAAAATTTAGGAATAATGGCTCCATTGCATAAGCATGTTGGAAAATGTGTTACCATGTTTATTATCAAACACTAAAAAACTGGATTGAAATCGTTCTAAAACGATTTAATATTGTTACTAAACATCCAAATTCTATTATATCGAAATCATGTGAAGATTATCAATAATTGTAAAACATAATATAGACAAGAATTTGCTTGTGTATCATTTCTAACAACTTTCGAAAAATATCAGTCAATATAATTTTGATATTAACAATGAAGAAATATTCAATTTTCAACGCTATCTACAGTATTAAGTAAAAGTACAGAACTTAATTCAGTATAATATATGCTTATATGTTTAAAGATGTCCTTTATAGGGATATTTTTGTTTGATCTAATTATTTACGCAAGAACCTTTGTCAAAACAAATTTAATTATTTAGATATTGTAAAAGTACAGTAATCAGGTACCGTACTCGCACGAATGAGCGCCTGGGCACTTGAAATATTTTTTTGCACTTTTTGAGGGGCGCTTATTCAAACGGGGCGCTTATTTAAACGGGGCACTTACGAAAACAGAGTGGAAATTATTTAAAAAATTGATCAAAATTGAGTGATTCTTATGGGAACTTATTAAATTTAAGAGGCTTTGAATGAAAAAAAGATAATATAAGGACTTTGGGAAACCGAAAATTACGAATGGTGGTGCGGCGGAAATGATAATCGTCCAGAGAGCATTTTTCATAAAAAGAATGCTGTGAATTTACATAACAGCAAAAGAGCATGCAAATAGTGGTGTTGGATAGTGGTTAGCTTGTTGGCCATCGGCCAATTGAGATTAGCAGGATGGCAGTAGGACACTAGGCCTAGACAAAATGTAAGAAGAGGAAAGTTGGAAATATACTGTCCGTCCAGGGTCGGAGCTCTAATAATCTGTCCAAGAGAAATATCCTCATTTTGATATTGACCTAAGAAGAATGTGATTGCACTCTGCAGCTCAAATCATGCCAACAACCACAGCCCCAGGATTGATTGGGTTATTGACTTGCTAAAAAAAAAATCTCATGATTATTCAAACGAGGCGCTTATTCGCGCGAGTACGGTATGTTCACAATTCATTGTTAAATCTGTGCCCATTAACAATAGTGTTTTAATTGTTATGAACCAAGAGCATACAGGAAAATCTGTGGATATTTTATAATATATAGGAAGCACATTAAAGTGAGCATAAAAATGCGCAATATGCCTAGGCCTATATTGTTTTGAAATAGGTTCATTCCTTGCTCAAACAAACGCGATGATGGCAGTTTTGTAAATATCCGAAGAAAATTGTCAATAAGTTTCGGATTTTATACATGAGGTGTTAAAGAAAAGATATTTAAGCCTACTTTCAGTTCTCGCAAAACACGATAGACTAAGAATGTAAAATGTGCTTATTCTTATCGTATTAATATTTGTCTGTAAACAAAAAATAATAATTTATCTAAACTAAACAATATTGTTTTATAAAACGTCGATAGGACAAAGTTCCATACAAATAATAATTTAACACCCTGATTGATGGGTTGTAGACCCGGTTATCAAAGTAGGCATATTCTGAAGGAATGCAAGTTTTATAGTTGTGCTTGAAAATAAAACAAACGAAATTGATTTGCGAGATGATGAATTTCAATTGTTTCCATCTTAAAAGAGATCCTTCATCATCCTTCGAAGATCGCTTTCTAAATCACGTTTAGAAATACTTCTTGACATGAACGATGGAATGAAAGGCTGTTTAGCAGCGGCAAAAAACTGCTCCAAGTCGGCTCCTGAACCTGAATTATCACCGCTACCTTCATGTTCATCCCTGGGCCTAAATTGATCAAACCAGATTTGTAAGTTGTAGAGGTACAGATAAATTTCGTAGGCCACACACTCGCAGTTGGGTGCCTGGCAGCCGTTTGGATCTATTGGTCTCAAAAAGTTACAGTAAACGCCATAGTCAGGACAACTTCTTGGAGAACCGCAATTGGAATCTCGTGGGTCGGCTAAAAAACATAAAATGCATTTAATGTTATTCTAATATCACCATAATTATTAGTGCCATTTTTTTTTTTACTCATAGAGAAAATTTCCTCATGCTCTACTTTTATCTATAGGCCTTGTTACATAGACAAACAGTACAAAAAATCAGTTCAGAGAGAGGACAGCCTTGCAATTACCTCAACCATGAGGTAATATATGTTTAACCACTCTCTGTGCTAGTATGTTCGTATGTTGTCATGATAAAAAGATTATAAGAACAGCTAATGAATAGATAATCATAAAATATATTGGGTAAACCTTTGGGCGAAAGGTCAAAGTTCAAGGTCACGAAAAAAATGTTGGCAGCATCACCATTCTTATGTTGTTATTATTATTATTAATATTTAATATTATTATTATTATTATTATTATTATTAATGTTATTGTTATTGTTGTTGTTGTTGTTATTATTATTATTTTTATTAGTAGTAGTAATAGTAGTAGGAGTAGTAGTAGGCCTAGTAGTAGGCCCCAGTAGTAGTATTAGTATTATAGAACGTTAGTAATATATGAATACTTACGACATGGATTGCAGTACCAACGATTTCGTCCACCTTGACAGATACTAAAGACAATAGAATAATAATATTAATAATAATGATAATAAGAGTACGTTTTGTATAAATATTTAATATAAAAATAACGCTAAAAAGAAAGATCGTCGAAACGTCGATCTTTTCTTTTTAGCGTTATTTTTATATTAAATAATAATAATGATAATATAACTTTAAATATCAAAACTGAATAAAAAATGTTTGATTATGTAATCGTTACGTGTAATTAAAGCATTTGAAAAATTGTTTAAATTAATTTTTATAGTTCTTATGCATCATTGGAAAACTAATGTATAAAAAATATTAGAAATTCTAGAGATTGCACTATGTGTTACTGTTATGAAACAATGTGGTGAAAGGGAGCAGTGTGATCACGCCCATTGCAACTGGATCCGCCCCTAGAACTTACCACATGTTACCACATTCGCCCTCAATTGCGCGTCCATATCCATATTCTTGTCCTTCCCACAGACATTGTGAGGGATCTAGAGGGGGAGAAGAAAAAGACAGTGCGTCAAATTTCAGTACAATCTAAATACACTGCTTTGTAAAATATTGATTTTCTTATTCATCGAATTGATAGCAATAGACCTAGATATTATCATCATCATCTGGTCGAACTTGCTCGGACTTAGTAACTCGGGCACGCCATCCATAACGATCTGTCATCTGGGAGAAGTCCGCAGAAAACGCGTGACAAATACGTCAACTTATTAGCTGAAGAATTTCTTATTAAAATCCAGCACATCGATCTGTCTTTATTTGAAGTTAATTGATCCTTTTAATAAACATTGTTAAGTTGAGTATTTCAGGCTTTTCCTGATTATTTTAACATAGCTTAAGAGGCCATTATTATGCTTTACGAAAAACGAAAGACATTGTAACAAAAAACAAAAAAAAACTAAAATAAGACTCAGAGTTTATGCTTACATCCACAGTTTCCTTCGTATCGAACAGTTACATAGGTTTCACCATCGTTACAAACGGCACGCAGCAAATTACAGTAGGATGTATACGTCACTTGATTTGTTCCACATACTGGTGTTCCATCATCTGAACAAGTGGACACACCGGCGCATTCTACAAGACAAACAGTCATCTTCATGATTGTTTAAGTTGCGCCCTCTATATAGCTAATCTTTCCAAACTAATTATAATGTTGGAAATCATACAATTAAAGGCAAATCACGAAGAAAGTGATAGCCTACTTATATATATGTACAGTAATTTGTTTTAGGCCTTTGGGATAGATATAGCTTAATGAATGAAATGTATTGAAGAAGGTGTATTTAAAAATACACAGTGACAGAATCGTCCATGTGACAGTGGTATGTATATATACTTATATATATATAGCTCTATATATATTATATATATATATGTATATATATACATTAAGAATGTATATATATATATATATATTAAGAATGCATGTATTTACATAGGTCTACAGCTGTTGCGTAGTCTGTACAGTAAAAAAATGAAGATTGAAACAACAAATTAGACACAGATAATAGAGACATAATTTTTTCAGGGATCAGATTAAATTCATATTATGATTTTAGTCTGATTCCGGAAAATAAGAACAGCTTATTGTGGCTTGATAAGATCAAAGGCCTTTGGATCTTTGTAGGCCCATTGAAGACGTGGCATTATGATGACGTTCATTCTGAGTTACACATGCTCAGTTCAGTGTTTATATTGGTCCTCGGAGGTTAAGTTTAGTTGGGCATATTGGAAACCCTTGGCAGAAGTTGAATAATTTCCCGTAGATATTTAATAAGAATATTTGTGATATGTTAGGGTGTTAATTTGAGTACAGACTAAATGGAACATCTGTTATTGCGACTATAAGGTATAGAAAGGGCCTTGGCCGGGGTTTAAGTCATATTTAATTCTTGATCTGGTTACAAACTCAAGGACCACTTTATAAATTCCCATGCTTTTACAGGCAATCCTCAAGGAAAACTTTACCAGCCACCCTGGATATGCATTTTATATTTTATGAAACCCATAGTACTAGTACCTGAGTAACTCGAACCCCTTCAATATAAATAATAATAATAATAATAATAATAATAATAATAATAATAATAATAATAATAATAATAATAATAATAATAATAATAATACATTTTTTTCCTCTCTTTTGCGGGGTAACCAACCTTTATTCATTATCATTTTCATCTTTGTATTTAAGTTCAAATACGATTCTTTAATTAAAAACAATAAATAAAAAATTATAAAAACAAAATTGTAAATAATAAATGCAAACATGGATAATAAAAATAATAATTTTGCAGTCATTTATGTGAAATGCAATTATCTTTTTTCCTTAGTTGAATGTCTATCTTTTCTTATTGTTTTTATGTCAACTTTCATTTTATTTCCATTCATTATCTCTTATCTAGTTTCACATTAACCTGAATACAATTAGCCTTTTCTTTTAGTTGAATACCTATGTCTGCTTTGTTTTGTTTTTATGTGAATTTCTTCAATATAAATTTTATATTTGACCAGAGATATCTAGTCTAATAATAATAATAATAATAATAATAAATAATGATAATAATAACAATGATAATAATAATAATAAAAATAATAAAAATAATAGTAACATATAATAATAATGGTAATAATAATAATAATAATAATAATAACAATAATAATAATATAATTTAAATGTGTATCTTATACAGATGTTATTCAATGAAAATGAAGCCATTCGCTTGCATTTTTAAATTGACTCAACCTCTCATGTATTGCACTCATAATTATAATACATCAGAAGTGTATTCTAGTACTGACGACCATCTAGCAGGGAACATCATGTACAATAATGCCCGTTATAAATGAGCTCTTGTAACGCTGTCAGTTTCAATTTGACATCAATTTATTCACAGTGCCACTGCAGGAAGAATATAGGACACGGGTGTCAGGCTCGCTAGGAACATTTCATTTTCAATAGAGTACATTGGATAACGTAACAATCAGAACATTGTAACGCACTCCATGAAGAGCATAAGCATTGAAATATTATTCGATAAGGAATGAAATGATACCAGGAAAACAGAATGTTGAGCCGAGCACGCACCCCTGTACAATAGAAGTAAATACTTTAATTTAAGTTTATATTGGAGTGTAACAAGGTACCATATCAAATTCCACACCTTAGTATCGTATTTGCTCTTTCCTTGGATTGTCTCCCTACATGAAGAATTCACCAGTATTATACGATAGACTTACATAAATACAAATGATAAGTAGGCCTACAGGGTTGCAGGCCAGTTTTATACAAATACAACTAGTCATCAATATTCTTACGTGGGACCTCTAGCGTAAAATTAGTACGGATTATGAGCTTGGACTAAACCATCCCTGCAACTTTCAACTCACCTAAGGGTCCGTTTAGTCAGATGTTGCCACTTGTGCAAATGTCTTTCCACAGCAGGTGATGAACCAGAACACCGGGATAGCCAGGGAACAGTTGAATTACGTAATTTAACTGTTCCCTGGAGATAGCCTTTTTATCTTTTCAATGGATGTCATTGGCACGTGAACTTGCCCACGATATATAGGCCTAGAATATATGTATGCTAAACGTACTTTTATCCAAGAGGACTTGGCTCTACCACCAAACCACGGGGGGGGGGGGGGGGGGGGGGGGGGCTCGTCTCGAACTGATCTCTTGATTTTTTTCGGGGAAAATTAACCAAACATGATACCAATATTTGGTGTTGACTTAGACCATTAGACCATGTGGTTTTGGTGAAAGATTCTATAGCTATGGAGCTTTCCATGTGAAAGAGCTACTTTATAGACTAACGACGTGTTCCCATCCTAAATAGTTGAGTGGAAGATAATGGATGAATGACTTCTGTGAGTGGTCTGGATACGTATGATACAGTATACTGAAGAAGACGACGAATGTTCGTAAATATATATATATATTTTAGCGAACTCAAAGCACTAGTCGATGGTAAGTGTAAAGATCCAAGGTCCACATTAAGTGAGCGATGTTAAAGTAGTCCAGTCAGGAATTCTCGACAGTATAATTATTCAGTTTGGTTATTTTATCGGGAACGATTTTCTGAGAGCACAATTTATGTTGATCAATTTGTTGGCTGTTGTTGAAACTGAGTAGAAGCCACTACCAAACATAACATTTTGACGTTGTGCAGAGGCAGCACAGAGGAAGATCTGGTCAGCTAACTTAAAATTGAATTACGCTGAACGAGATTCACTCCTAAAGACCAATTAACATCAAAGACTTTTAACTGTCACGTCTGTTCTGTCTGCTGAGATCGATTTCAGAAAATAGACGACTTCCACTGTTGATTTTTTTAACGGCGGCTGTCTCCATCCAACATCGTTCCGTATTGTCCTCATATCGTACAAGTCTCAACCACTATCAGAAAGTGGAATGGCGAGTGTAAATAAAAAAACAAAAAAGGGGAAAACTCATTCCTTAGGTATGTATTTAATTATGACGTCTTTGAGCAAGTTGTTCGTATGTGGGTCTAGTATTTATTAGAATAAACCTTAAATTTCGTAAATTAAAAACTGATAATATATAATATTGCATGTTGCTAGTTTCATAGAGTTTTATAGCGCTCTTTTTAAACACAAAATATTAATGATAATAACAGTACCTGTTACAATGTAAGCCTCCAATATTTAAGATACATATTAAGACCTATATCTAACATAATTAACACGAATATCAGTAAACCACAAACAGCAGCACGAACAGCACCAATACACTTTTGCATGCGTGTCATTCCGCAGCGGTTCATTTGTTTTTCCCCTCTTTCAATAGAACTAGTAAAAAAACATTCACAAGAAAGTATCAAGGTCTATTCATTATTACAGATTCTTAAGTCCTCAATAAACAAGCAAATCAAACAGTCTGACAGTTGTATGGCTGCTTGTTCCCACACCAGTTTACAATTACCTACTAATCACTTAATTGACCCCTAAAATTTGCTTATTAATTGGGGATGGGACTTCATAAAATATGTAATGCCGACCGATTACACATCCAGATTGAATAAATGGTCCGACCATGGACTTATTACTTAGGTCCATGGTCCGACAGTGGGGTAGGACAATATCCGGTGGGGTCTATGGTTGAAGCACCAGTACGGGATCCAGGATCTGTTTAGATACGTTTTAGAACGCATTTTATCCTAGTAATTTTGACCAAAAGATTGTTTTGGTCCGATGAGTCGCATCCGACGGGATGGGAGCGGGGTGCCCTCGTTGGTGCCGTCACTTTATATTGAGCCTCAGCTCTAGTATACTTTGTATATTAAGCTGGGCACTCACTGCGTCGTACGACCGTCGGCCGACGAATCCAACTCCGCTTCCTGTGAGCGCTAGACCATGCGACGCCGCCTGCTGGTTGTGGGTGGCGGTCTAAACGGATCGTCATTAAACACGATCCGTTGCGCGCGCGCGTTGCGTTCTTTATAGAATTGCGTCGGGCGCAGTGAGTGTCCGGCTTCGCTCCGTAAAGGCCAACTCAGACAGCGTCGGCCGACGCAGCCCGACGCGATTTGTTGTCGCGTCGGGTCTGTGTGAGTTGAACGCAGACGCGATGGTGTGCGTCGGGGGCAGTCGCGTAGTAGAATATTAAACGTGTTTAATATTTCTCACGACGGATTAAGACTGTCCCCGACGATAAATCGGGTCGGGCTGCGTCGTACGACGCTGTCTGAGTTGGCCTTAACAATCAAAACAGACCTAATAATGTACTAACTGCCATCAGTGGATTACTCTAGAATAACCACGATATGACAGGGGATTTGTGTGTAAGCTTAACACCAAAACACGGGTAATGAATCACAAAAACATATAAGCCTATTAATCAAAACTATTATCCACAAGCATGGAAGTTATTAAGTATGGTTAAAATGGGTTCAATGACCAATAATAAACAGTTGAACAGTTCAAGTATGTACTGCTATTTTTTCACAGATGTATTGTGCTTAAACCTTTTGCCATTGTTTTAGGCCTAATTATAATAATAAGAATGATATATAGTGATGATTAAAACAGGCCTTATGCATAAAAGCATGTATAACTTTATCATTACTATTAATTATCATTCTATTTATTATGATTAAATATGTTCCACCAATTATAAACCAGGTGAATTAATTATTAATGTTATTATTAGTGTTGTTATTATTATTATTTATTTATTTATTTATTCATTTATTTATTATTATTCCATCATGAAAAATGATTGTAAGAAAATAGAAATTAGTTTGCTTCTAAAAATATAATTTCGACATTACATCAGAGAACGTGTGTTGTGCTGTGTTCCTGTGGTGCCTCCAAGGTTAGTAACGAGAGGACAAATATAATTATAACTCTTATTCGATCTATGGCAATTCTAGGTTCTATACATCCGATAGGTAAGCCCAAAGTGCCGGATCGGTGTTTAGTATTCAGAATTTGTTAGAATTCTCCCCACTTGGCTCTCAATATCACTGGCGTACGTATTTAGGAGTATTGGAATTGTGATGGTGGAGTCGGTGTGGGGCGAACATAGAGTAGATCAATGATTTAGCGAGGGGACACTACCGTAGGTCGCAAAATAAGCGTGATTGAGCGTCAGTTGTTTTAGGACTTTTTCAAAGGGGGAGCGACTGGTGGAAGGGTGACTGGGGGAGAACTTTGTTTTATTGGGGGAAGGGGAATGTTCCCCGCGAGATACACCACTGCACAATATACAGGTAGGTGGCTCCAACACATATGGGATCAGGCAGTGACAAAAATAAATAACTAATAAATAAATAATTAAAAAGACAGGGTCGATAAGCTGGACAAGGGCAAAGTAGATCTATAACACATTTATTTGTTTTGTTTACCATTGCTAATGGATTTGGCTTTCACAAAGAGAGGGGTGACTGTGAGGAGCTAAAAATACTTTAAAAAAAAACTATATTACATCTTAAATAAAGATTAGATTTAAAAAAAAATATTTCTCACTAATTAAGAGACTTTTAAGATTAAGAGACTTTTAAGATTAAGAGACTTTTAAGATTGCTGTTCCTTTGAAATGCAAGACGACACAATGCAGAAAATCTTTTGTTCATAATTAAACTTATGTTTTCAACTCAACTCTTCAGAGATAGTATTTATATTGTTCTGTATTAAATAATAGTCTTTCATGTATATTATTTTTTTAAGCGCAACTAATCCTTTGTGTTTTATATTATTTCATAACGTATTATTTATGTACTGTAGTTTCAGCATCCAAATTACATGTACACCTTGTTTTGTGGTCATGACAATAAAGTTTATCTTTTCTTATCTTAGTTAAACAATTTTTGTGTTCAAACAACATCTGTAAAGTCAGGGAAAACATTTCAAGTAAATATATTGAATGATTTCATTTTTCAAGATTTCAGACATTGCCGGACCGAGTTAGTCTATCTCCACACCATCAGCCCTAAATGGTAATACAGTAATAAGAGTTAGGAATCATGGATTATTTTGCAAGCATCTTACCCTGAGCTGCAGCGTATGTGTAAGGCCATGGTTTTTCCTCAACAGTCCCAGCTATACAGAGGACTAATAAACACGAAAACACCAACAAAATCAGAGACCGCATAATGATATAGTAGAAGTATAAATCACAAAACAGAGAAGAATATCCCTTTGGAAAAATACAAGATATACGAGTGAATTGGTGTAACAGTACTTCTCAGTACACTCAGCGAAGATATTGGTATTGCCTAGTTACTGCGGAAGGTCTGCTTTTAAAGGCATCCGCAAGGTGACTGATCACTTTCGGCTATTTGACCCACATCGTCTGCACCAATATATGGGCGGAAAGTTCCTATATTATAAAGTAGGACCTTTTCTCGAAATATGATGTAGGTGCCTACAAAACCAAACTTTCCATGCAAGTCTGGTGCATTATTTTGCATAGAGTTTCACCAATGGTGTTAACATTGCTGCGTTTTTACCTCAGTAATGACTGGGAAGGGTTTGGAGCGAGATCACCAAGTTGAAGTGAGATACTGTGGCATTATGATGCAGGGTATATGTCTAAGACCGGGGTCTAAGAGCTGATGTGGGATAATCTTTTTATTTAAGAGGTTGATGCAGATTACAAGAGACGAAAGTGTCGGTGGTGGATGACTGTCGCAGAATTAGGGAGCCAGTAGCATAGACGGGCCCAGTATAAGGTCTGACACGGTCCTAAAGCCAGTAGTGATGGTTAATGCAGGATTACCACAGATTGTAGATCCAGTAGGGGATGACTGATGCGGAATTATGGGAACCAGTGGCACAGACAGAAGGCCTAGTAGAGGTAGCGATACGGACCCCGAGCCAGTAGTTAGGTTAATGCGGGGGATTATCACAGATGGTAGATCCAGTAGGGGATGACTGATGTGGAATTATTGGAGCCAGTAGTACAGACAAAAGGCCCAGTAGAGGGTACGATATGGACCCAGTTGTGTTGGCTAATGCGGGATTACCACAGATGGTAGTTCCAGTAGGGGATGACTGATGCGGAATTATGAGAGCTGGTAGCACAGACAAAAGGCCCAGTAGAGGGTACGATATGGACCCAGTTGTGTTGGCTAATGCGGGATTACCACAGATGGTAGATCCAGTAGGGGATGACTGATGCGGAATTATGGGTGCTGGTCGCACAGACGGAAGACCCACTAGAAGGTCTGATACGGACCAGTGAGCCAGTAATGGATGGACACCACTTCGAGGTCGTCGGACTAAAATATGAATTCAAGCAATGCTATTATTATTACCAATTCCCAAAATTGTGGTCTAAAATTCACTTTTGTGCAACCCTAAACAATAACATCTCTCCACAAGCCAGAAGGGGTATTCTATTTCGGGACTCTCGCCGAGGCTCTAGATGACGACTTGGTTCGGAACACCCTGTCGGACTTGCTGGATCCCTTATCGACATATTCTGAAGTCACCTCTAGAAATTAACTGGTAACATATAGGCCAATATTTCAGTGATGAGTATGAGATTTCGATTGTTTTCCAGTAGTGAGTGTGACCCTACATGCGAGAAAGCGTATTAATAGCCGATGGTATTCTTTGAGATTTATTTAAGTTAAGGCGAGTTCGACAGCTGTTGTCATATCAGACCAGAATCTGCAAAGCAAGAGATACCTAGGGGGTTTTGTTAGAGCCCTTTAAGGCGACAGTTGTGTAGATATGACGTCAACGACATTTTGTCGACAGTAGGCCTACTTACCACCAGTCATATTTTGCAAATCACATGTACTATAATATAAGGTCCAAGTATAGGCATATTATAATGTTGTTTGATGATGGCAATGCTCATTGGATCAAACCTGACAGTTTGTTCGTTTACAGTTCTTCCTATCCCATTTTCTCATTTCTTATTTAAAATAAAACGTGCTCAAAAAACCCTATCCTCGTAGAATTATTTTTTATAGGCCTATGCCTACTGTAAACGAATAATATAGTATATTTCCCGTGATTATGATAATCGTAAACATTGATTGTACTGTAAGAAAACGGAAATTAGTCGGCTTCACACAAAAAAAATGATATGCCTACATCAGAAACGGAGACAGGCAACCTCCAGACGTACTGTACGTGTGTTGCGCTGTGGTCCTGTGGTGTCTTCAAGGTTGAACGTAACGAGACGACAAATCGGATTCGTATAATATCTATGACAATAGATATCAATAGGCACGAACCCAACCCCTACTGCTTAGATATGTAGTGTATAATAGTAAACCTAAACATTTTGGATCAGAGTTTTTAGTCGTATTTTGGTATAAATTCATGCAATCAAATTTAATATATACTGTCTGCCGAAAAAATAAATAAAAATTTAAAAGTTAATAACTTCCACAGAAACAGATGGAGAAAAATATTTTTACTGATTTACAGACATTTACTTAAAAAATCTTAAATTGATTACAGTCAAGTTAAGGGTCTTTGCGACAGAATATTGGTAATGTATTACCAATTTGTTTTTTTGTTTTTGTTTTTGTTTGTTTTTTTTTTTGTTTGTTTTTTTTTTACGAGAGTCTAGAAGGACCTAAGGTTGAAGACAGGAAGGTTTTGAGGTGTTCCCTTACCTATTATGCAAAGTGTGTTTGGGAGCGCCCTTTTTTCTACCCCTGGAATCGCCACAGCAGAAAACGCCTGCAAAGGAATCATATCCCAATTGATAGAATAATAATAATATATAAAACATAGTGTTTACAATAAACCTACCCTGAGATGCAGCATACGTGTAGGGCCATGGTTCAGCTACACACACGACCAACAAACACGAAAACACTAACAAAATCCGCATAATTGAAGTATAAATCACAAAACTTGGGAGCGTCAGATAAGAATGATCCCTTTGGAAAAAAACACACTAGCTAGAATCGCGAGTGAAATTGTCTACTTCACAGTACACACAGCGCAAGGCTTGGTATCGCCTTACTGCGGAAGGTTTGCTCTTAGGGGCATCCACAAGACAACTGATAACTTTCGGCTATCTGCCCAATCGTCTGCACCATTAGTGGGCGGGAAGTTCCTGTTTCATCGGACCATGTACTTGAACAAACACCTGCTGTCTTTAAGAGAATGAGATATCAAGGACCATGGAGATACGATGTAGAAGTCGTGTAAGTCGAGTGCGTGTGTTTAAATGATTTAATAAAACTTAATTTTACATTGGTAATAGCTGGTAATAGCAGGGAACATGTTCACTGTTCCCTGGTAATAGACAGCTTCATTAATAATGCATTTGTTCTAAATTGTCCTCAAATCCATGCCATTTTTGTGACGTCTGTTTTTATCTTTTTATAAATTTTATGAATTTTCCGTGATTTACAGGCTCGTACGCAGGATTTTTATTGGGTGGGTGCAAATTTGTAGACAGTAGACCAGAATGGGGGAGGGGTGAGGCGCCGGGGAAAAGCACTGCTGGTGGCGAAGATTTTGGATAATTTGAGGTCTTATTTAATCGATTCTAAAGATGCAATATGAACAGTATTAAACTGATACAGAAATTTTAAATAAAGGGGGACCCAGCTGGAGGGTGGCTACCAGCTGACTACCTCAGCCCCAACCATGGTTGGGGCTGAGGTAAGAAAATACATGATTATGGACCCCCTAAATGACAGGAAATGGAACTCTCAGACTTAATATAATTTACTTTTTTCCCATTTTTACAAAATAAATTTTGAAAAAATCAGGGGCAGGGGATATGAACAGTATAAACATTTTGCAGTGGCGAATCCAGGAAATGGAAATAGAGGTGGCCCAGGCAGGAAATTTCACAGAGGGAGGGTATATACCACCTCAGCCCCACCATGATTGGGACTGAGGTAAGAACATGATTATGACACCTTTAGGTGACCGAAAATGGCACTCTCAGACTTTTTTTCTCCAGAAGTTTTGAAAAATAATTAGGGGCAGGGAGGCGGACCGTTTGGCCCCTGAATCCGCCTCTGTCAGTGGTGGATCCAGGAATTCAAATTAGAGAGACCAAGGAAGGACTTTCATAGATCGGGGGTCTATAACACCTCAGCCCCACCACGGTTGGGGCTGGGGTAAGAACATTAATGATTATAGCACCTGTAGATGGCCGGAAATGGCACTCTCCGACTTCATTCGAATTTTTCTTCGTGTATTAAAAACATACATTTCTTGCCCTGATCCTCGCCATGATGACGAACTGTGCGAAGGTCTAAATCCACGCCTGCTGTAACAGGATGACTTCCAAACGAGCATAAAGATGATTTTAATGAAACCTAGAATGAAGATGTTGACACACAAGCGGTGGGGGAAAACACTCAAATTCCTCAAAATGGTTATAAGGTAGTTGCTTGTACGACGAATTAGAGTTAGTCTTGAATTTTCTATCCCGGAAAATGTGAACCTTTGGTAATTTGGCAGTGGGGGTGCGTACGCACTCCCCTGCGTACGGGCCTGATTTGTATGTTGAGTTTGACAGAAAAATGAATAAATGAATGCCAAAACTGTGTCGTTTTTACAGTAGTTACCGGAAGGCGTTTGAAGCAAGGATTGCCTATATAGAAAAAGCTTTTGTAGTCGCATTTGTAGGGTACTGTAAGGGCCTATGAACTGATGTAGGATTTACTTTTTTAGTTATGTTAGTTGATGTGAGATCAGAAGAACCGGTAGAGAATTGTTTATATTGTCATATATATATATATATATATATAAAGCGAGGTTCAACAGTAGCTTTGATTAGACATTTTATTACTACTTAGTTTCGTTCTACCATTGAGCACTCTGCTTGTAATAATTGCGATAGTTTTCTTCATGAATGAGACATAGAAATACAATTGATTGTATGTGTAACTTAATAAAATTAAGTTACAAAATTTATTCTAAGAAATTTGTTGGCCTGTCTGCATGCCAACATTTTTCTTCTTGTATTTCTATGTCTTTTAGTCATTAGGTAATTTTATCTGAAGAGTGTCACACCATGTGTGTGGTACGAAACTAAGTAGTAATAAAATGTCTAATCAAAGCATAGAGCAATCTATGATCAAAGCTACTGTTGAACCTCGCTTTTTATTTATTTATATCCGATCTGGTCTACCATTGAGCACTCTGCTTGTAATAATTGCGATAGTTTTCTTCAGTTACAGGATTGCCTTCTAATAATTGTCTTGGAAGGTAGATAGGCTTATAAGATGATGACATAATTAATGTCGAAATATTGAATCCCAACACGATGGCGTGTATTTCAATACTTGGAGTATGTATTATACTTTCGTAGATAGGCTTATAAGGGGAAACCAATTAGAGGAAGAAAGAGATGAGCTTTGGTTTTCGATGGGCCAAAGGCCTAAAGAATTAATAAAGGCAGGGGTAATCTCCTTGCATCGAACGAAATAACATAAAGAATGAAAACCCATACGAACAGTTAAAGACTGCGGCTTTAGATCGGGAGAGATGGCGGGAGTGGTTGCCATGAACCTGCCAATTGGCAGATCACTTGATGATGATGATCAACTTTGCTTATGGTTTGAATCCAAATTATTATAATTTACATAATATGTATAAACCAGGGAACAGTGAAATTTCACTGTTCCCTGGTATAAACCATACAGATATCATACATTTGCATAATGTATATTTTCATAGGATCTTGGCGGGATGTTCTTGTCGCTATATTATTGTGAGTGGTGCCTTTGGGAAAGGATGCCAAAAAAAATTTTTTTTTTTACTCCTTCTCTATTCATCGACAGTTCTCCGTTCTGGGCTCAGACACAATTTTTTACAGGTTTTCATTTATTCAATCAAACGTTTTAAATAATCGATGTTCTGTAATGGGCTGTCCCTATAAAAAAACAGAGCTCGAAACCAGCCTAATGAACTAAAAATAATGTAACAAATAAATACAAAATAATAATTATGATGAATATATTTGTGTTGGCAACCAGATAAATGATATTATTGAGATTGAGTTCCACACAATTATAAAATGCAATGTCCTGCTTCGGATTTATTAACATCCATCAATCAATGAATCATTCGATCAACCAGCCAACTAATTAACCAATCAACTTCTTAACCAATCAATCAACTACTTAATTAACCAATCAATCGATCAAGTAATTGACAGATCGTTGGAACAATCAGTCGAACGTTAAATTTATCAATCGATATATACATCAAAATTTCGGGAAAAAAAACCAACATATCTTATTCGCGCTGAAGTTTTAAAAAATAACAAAAAAGAAAGTCACAACCAAACCGAGTCAGTATAAGTTCAGCATTCGAACGAATTTACGTTTCCTGAAGTTTGAAACTATATAGGCGAACGAAGCATCTGCGTTCGAAGTCAACAATCCATTAACAATGAATTAAGGAAAACCTGGATGTTACTTTAAAAGTAGATAAGAATCTTGAATAGCAAAAATTAAAACTTAGGTTTGTTCCAGTCGCCAACACATTGACCAATCGGAAGTCTGTAATTGCGGCTGACCGGGTTTTGTTTTACGTATTAAAAGCGGTCCTTGAAGGAAAAAAATCGTGTAGTCATCATTTTAATGTGTTTTAGATATATGCATTTTTGGGCCTAGAACAGGCCTAACTTTAGATTTAACTTTGTAATAATGTATGTTTATATGTATTGTAACTTGTTTTTCTACATGGACACAAATCTAAAATTATTATTAATAATAATTATAAATATTTGTTATTTAATAACGAATTATCAATCCTGTGTAACATTTATGCAAAAGTAGTACAGTACTGTATCTATTATTATCCTGATGATGATAATAATGTCGAAATATTGAATCCCGACACGATGGCGTGCATTTCGATACTTGGAGTATGCTACACTATCATATCTGAGATTAATCAGTGGACCTTTCGGTATCTATTATGTGTAGACTATTTAGCAATCTGGCGAATTTGAGTTGACCTCGCTCCGAGCACTGTCGACTGGCCAGACTGTCGACTGGCCAGAACGGAGCTTTTAAAGAAACCAACTTCCAGCCAATCAACGACAACTGTTGAAATAATACTTTAAGGTTATATCAAGGTCATTCGGACATGTGTAAATAAAATATTTCCCCGAACCCTTACAACCAATCAACCATAAAATAAAAGAATACGAGGCACAATTCAATAAACCCGAATCTCTTTATGTTTATTCTCCAGTAAATAGGATACATATTTACGAAATGATAATTTAAACAAACGCAACAACAAATTAAACAAATAAATTAACAAAACTTATAATTCATTCACACTGCAATTCAATAAATCATATTTTTTCAAACAAACTTACTTATAGAGCAGCACAAAATACGTAAAGAGCAGCACAAAATAAGATCCAAAACAAAGACTAATCAAGAATCTACAGTCACTGATACCAAAGATGTATCTTCGAAATTTGCGACTGTATTTTTCTCCACATATATGATTACATAAATTATTAGGAAGGTGTGAATACTCAGCAATGTTAGGAATACACGATAGTAAAATGTCATAAAAAGTAGTAAAATATTTCCAGAAGATTCAATTTATGAAAACAAAGTGAATTATATGAATGAAAAATCAATTTATGTGTCTACACTTGTATATTTTCTGAACAATCGAAGGGCCTACATCGCAAGTTTTATTGGTTTTTTTTATCCATTTTAATAGATTGGTCTGCATTCATTAAATGCTATAGAGTACGGTAATAAGTGGCGTAACGCCTATGCGCTCTCGTGCGGCGGTCCGCAGTGCCCCCAACTTTTAGTCGTTACGCCACTGACGGTAATCTACGTAATCATATATTTCTCAGCAATTCAAACTCTATTAACATAGGGATGTCAATATTCGCTTAATTATTGCCAGTCAGTCCAGGGAACAGTGAAATTACACTGTGTAATTTCACTGTTCCCTGGTCAGTCTTACTCGTGAGAAAACACAGCTTTCTATTTCAATTATTGTACCACAACCCCTGAATCGAAAGGCGAACATGTTAACAACTACAAAATCTAGGCTAGTTCCTT